AATCTTCTACATGTGTGTTATGTTTTACATGGATCATTGTTACTTTCTTGCCCAGAATCTCTTTCAAGGATACCGATTTTTTTTAATGTAGTCCAATTTGGTAGGAATTAGTGTGACAAATCTCAGTGGAAGGCTTCATGAACGGGGAAGGTGATTTTCGTTTTAGTTAATTTCTTAGGTAAGTTGTATCTCTCCACTCATACTCCTATGTCCTCATTGCCCCAGTACCAAGGTGCAGCACCCTGTTGTCTCAGCAGAATTATTTTGTGCAACCTGGAGGAGAAATGGTGCTGACTATTGCATTCCCACTGTGACTTATTGGCTCCTCTTGACTGGTGGTGACACCCCAGATTTTAGAGAGACCTTTGGGAATCAGTGGTGGTTGTGGCCTGATCATTGGCGAAAGAATATGGCTTACTTGACCCACCATAAATCTAAGACAAGGTTGCTGATCCTTGCCAATTTTTTACTCATTTTGAGTATATTATGGCAACAGTCTGTCTTCCTGCTGTAATAGTAGAAAGAGAATTGGGCCATATTAGTAGCTGAAAAACCTGTGGTTTGTGTACAGTTTCCATTACTACCTACGTAAAACAAAATAGTTGTTACATACATGTGTTTAATTACTTGGAAACTAAAGTTCTATTTTGAGTGAGAAGAAGAAAACTGGTTTTGAGGAAAGTTAAAATTCAGCATTTCAAAATACTTATTTTTTAATAGTGTTTGTGAAATAGCTGCTTATTTGTTTTTTAAAAAGTGTTTACCAGAATTACTGCAGATGCAATTTTAATATTTAAAATCAATAGCTTTAAGTAGTTTTGTTCAGATGTGTTCAGTTGGGATGCAGTTGGGATATGGGATTGCAGTACTAGGCAACAAAGAAAACAAGTGGATTTGGAGAGGCAAAAGACTGAATCCTCACATTTATATGTACCTCCGAGTGCCAATGCAAAATATTTTAATATTATTATCATATTAATATTTATAAATCATGGAGCTCAAACAATTTGGTAACAAGTGGGATGCTATCTTAAAGCACCAGCAGAGGAGAGCACTGAAGTACGTTCTTATAGTCAAATCATACATGCACTCAATCAGATATTAGCATAGTGAAATATTTTTTAAACTGGTGTACCATATTTCATTGCATTTTTATGTATTTTGGCTTCTCATAGGTCATAGGTATGGTTTCTCTCTTGGAAAACAGTAGTTTGTTTGTCGCACTATTGCTACATTGCTAAGAATATGACATAAAGTATAGTATATGCTAAAGTATAGTATATGCTAATAGTATAAAGTATAGCCACCACTATTTTACTCTCTTGAAATTTTTGTATATAATAAGAAATATTTCACTTTCACAGTGAGATACATTAAAGACTGTTTTGAATGTATCCAGTTTCAACAAGCTGCTCTGAATGAAGCTTCCTGCATCAGTCCTGCGCATTGTCACCTACTTAATAAAATTATTCTGTGGTATTAGGCAGCACTCCAGTCTTTTTGTAAATCTGAAATTGATAGTTGATTTATGCTTGGTAGTGATGTAATTATGGGCTGTTATTTCTGTAGCACTTAGAGCTGTTGGGACAGAACTCATTTTCTGGTGATGTTGCATGCCTTCGACTGGAATAACTGGCAGATATAGGATACTGTGGAAATATTTCTTTGCATGATGAAGTCTTACAGTTTTCTTGCGGTTGTTTCATAGTCAGTCTAATTGCTCTGCTTATTTCGTTTTTATCAACAGCTTTTATGTTGGAGATTATGTTCTGACACTATGTACTGCAAATAGCAAATTGCTCCCTTTTATATTAAAACTAGTTTTAAGAAGCACGTAAAGATATCATGTAGCTGGAGTTGCATACTGAAGGGTTTAGAGTGAAATCTTCTTAGCTCAGCTTTGATGCTATTCATGTGCATGGTTTCTTGATAGCTTGAATTCTGGCTGCAGTAGATTTTAATAGTCAAAATTTACTAGCAGTGTAATTCTGTTAGCTAAAGGACAGATAGCTAAGCCCACATTTGTGTCATAATGAGGACAATCAAATTTAACCTGAAATGGTATAATATACCTTGTACAGAATATTTTTTAAAAATCACTTTGTTTCCTTATCTTTTTTTCCCCTTTTGCAATGCAGCTAACAGTGCTCTCACATCAAGGTGCCAGACAGTGTTTGAAATACATTTCCATGACCTCTACTCAATGACAGATATCAGAAGATAGAACTATGTGCAAAAACTTTCCATATCATGACTCTGAGAGAGACTAGGGTAATTTTATTATGTTTAGGTAATATATGATAAAATACACTGTATATAGCTTTAGGCTTTTAGGCCAAATATTGCATGCCAAAATCTGAAGACAGATTGGCAAGTCTCAATTACCTCCTGAAGTTATGTTTGTATTTGGAAGTTACAGGCTTATACAAAACCAGCTGGACACATTCTGATATGTGAAACTGAGTTTTCCATCCTGTTCAGAAATGAACTGTTAATAATTAGGATCCTAATCTGATTGTCTAAGCATATTAAAAAGAAGTCACCGATTTTTCTCATTTGCAACAATTTATGAAACCACGAACACTGGTGGTGGAAACCACGAAACTTACAAGGCACTATTGATGAAATATCAAAAACAACATTCTCATCTGGAGGTGTGAATGACACTTCTCAGAATTATGCAGTTAAGAGAAAAACTGTTTTGTTGCCTAAGCTCAGGTACATGACAATTATTTTGTACAATCTAGGAACCGCTGGATTCGGAAGTGGTTTATGGGGGTTGGTATATCTGTAGGTCATGAAAGCTCACATAATCTGAAGGGGCTAAGCAATTATAGCTAAATCATTATAGTGATTCTTTGTTATGATATGATAGAAATTGTGATTTGTAAAGCACAGACAGTGATTTGTAAATCACAAAGACTAAAAATCAACACTTGCATTATATTCACATTATACTTGTCTGTTTTTTTTTTCTCCTGAGATTGCTGTTTTAATGTCTAGTTACTACTAAATTTTCTCTGTTACCATAGATTATCTCTTACATACTCATAGCTGCTTTTTTCACCTCAAAGGAGGTGACTAACAATTCATTTACCTGTAAGTCAGCTTTGGATTTGCTTAAGTGATAGCTGTCAGTGGTGGTAGCTAGCTGTTGGCTAGTGACTGCATCTCCTTGTGAAACAGGACCTGTTCCAGATTGGCGTCAGTGTCTCGGGCCTCCCGCCGCTCGGTTTTCCGTGGGTGGGTTATGCAGAAACCCTGCTGTGTGTGTGCCAGCCCGCGGCAGCACCGCGCTGCTCACTGCTCTGCCCTGGCTGCCATCCTTGCGCTTTCAGAGTGCGCTGGCAGCCCGAGTCTAAACGCTTCAGTCTGCGTCTGTGCGCTTCATAAGCAATGCTTTGTTCCTCCTGAGAGCTGAAAATTGACTGTATGCACTTTAAATAGACGGCATTTAGCTGTTATGTTAAGAATTGCCAGAAATTTGTCACTAAAGAAAGCCTGTGTTAGATAAGCTTATTCATCTGTTCTAGTCCCATCTGCTTGAACAAGTTAATTGGAAGTCTGGGTAGTAACAAAATACAGTGGCTTCCAATCTTTCTGTAGTATTTCTGTGCTTGCAAAAAGGAAACAAACAAAATGGAAACTGTTTTTTTTTTTTTTTATCTCGACATTAATCAGGTGTTTATTTTCTCTGGATTTTTCTGAATGAACCACTTGTTAAGCCTTAATCTCCAGATCCTTGGTACTAAGAAAAAAAAAATGTCCTAGGCAAAATAACTACATAAGAGTGCAGCATGTGGCAATTAAGATGCTAATCCCTCTTATATTTACTCCAGCTTAATATTTGAAGGGCTTCAGAAGTTGAGTTTTATAATAGGAGGCTTTTTGCTTTCCTAAGAAGGTTTTAGCTAAAAATTTTAATGTGTAATGTCTTTTTACCTTGCTAAGAAAAATAGTAATAAAATTGTGTTACAATGTGTTCATGTGAGAAAGTAAAGCTACAGTCAACTCAGTGCAAAGTGGAAAAAAGAAAGGCTGCATCAATGACTGTCTATAAATTAAAAATGAATGTAGCTATATCTATAAATGTCTATAAATTAGCTACTTGAAAAGCTACACAATGATCTTTTGATATTGTCTACAACAATTACATTTTTTTTAGAAATGGCATTTATTAAAACAATATCAATCAGAACATATTGCATAGTTTATATAAACCTATATTTTTCTTTTTCCAAAATCACTTTTTCTGAAACTTTTTTTTTTTTTTTTTTTGGTAAAAACAAATTCCCTTTGGGAATCCTTCATGATACTTGCTGCTTCTTCTAAGACAAAAGGCAGCACTCTGGTTCTTCCAACACTGAAAACTGTAAAGTGACGATACCACTTGCTTACAAAGATATATACGAGATAGGAAATAACTAACTGCCTTAATTGTAGCATCAAATAGGTAGTTAACTGTAGTTGGAAAGTGAAACACTTTGTAAACTTTCAGAAGGCTTTGGGTTTGGGTTTGAGACATATCACTGCAGTGGTCATTTACAAATCAATTACTTCAGTGTACCTGAACCTACAAATAGAAATTAATTATTTTATTCACAGTTCTAATAGACCTCTGCTGCAACTACTCCATGATTAAAGAACTGTGTGTATCACAAAGTATTAAAATTGATTGTTTTGCTTATCAGTTTCATTATAAATGTACATTTAATGCTTATTGTGAAGATTTTTTGATGTAACGAAAACACAGATTTGTTTAACTGCATTTATGTTTTGGGCAATTTTCACTCCTAGACAATTAGTATTTCAGTGAGCCTTCAGAAAACATATCCTGGTTGAGAGGCTTTCTTTTATTTTTCTTTGGCTATCCTCTGACTCATTGAATGAGGGGAACAGCTGATGGCTTAACACATTTCTTCAGTCTTGTGTCCTTAATGAGAGATAAATCTGAGTATTGTATCTGTCATGTCTCATTGTCCATCTGTCTGTTTCTCTAGGAGGAGATTTCCTGTCCTTTTTAAGAAAGAAGAAGGATGAGCTAAAAACTAAACAATTAGTGAAATTTTCATTAGATGCTGCTTCTGGTATGGCATATCTCGAATCTAAAAACTGTATACATAGGTAAGTAATGTTTTAGTTCCTTTTCTTTTTTTTTCCAGTATTGTAATTCTGATACCTTGAAATGCCAGCAGGTTAAATGTATGCCCATGTTTAGTATCATCCCTACCATTTAAAAACTACTTTTTTTTCCCTCCACATTTTCTTTTTTTTTTAATGAGATCATCCCTAACTTCTAATCTACTCTGTTCAGTTGGGCAAAAAAAAGTACTCATTTCCAGAAAAATTATAAACAAGCTTTTGTTTATGATAGCAATGACTTCCGACTTGCTTTGTAGAACATTTGTCACTAAACTCTGGGCCATTTAGCTTGCATAATCAGCCTACTTCTTATGTAGCACAATGCTAATGAAACCTGTTACTAGCAACCTAAATGGCATTTCTTTTTTTTTTAATTCAAAAATGAATTATTCTGCTTGTTTCAAGTCAAGAAGCATTACATTTAAACACATCTTTCAAATCAGAATAAGTTCAAAAGCTATTTATAAAGTATTACAGTATTAAGGTACAATTTTATATACACAACTTTTTTGTCTGTTTGCGTTGAAGAAACTTGAATAAAGTAGTTTTCAAAACTTAATAAATTATTCCGAAACACAAATTAATTGAAAAAGTTTTCCCAGATCATTATATATAAGTAGTAGTGAAACAAACAAACAGAAAGGTACCACTTATTAAATATAACAGTAGAATATTCCAAATG